TTTCCTGAAGTCCTTGTAATCCTTGTTCAACTATTGGAAGAGCAGCATACGGTACAGGTCTTTTGGGTCGAAAGACGGGAGTAGCTGCAAGTTTTAGGGTTAACAATGCTTCTGCCTTCGTACAATCCCCCAATCCATCTTTAAACACGTTTTGGTGTCTTTGTAGCACGGAGTTTCTAAGGCTCCACTCTAAGGTGTCAGTTCTGATTCGTCTGCAGATGCTGTTAGAAGAATGGTCTGCTAGTTTAAGTGTTTCTATAAGACCTAACCCCATTAAGTCGAGTGCTGGCTTCTTTGTAAGATATACTGTTGCATTCGTTGGTTGTTACAGTACCTTTAGAAACAGTGCATGGCACTGTGTGCCAGTTGTATTGTTGGGAAAACTGTGGGTCTTCCAATTTTCTTCCAGGTTTCTGGGCTGATTAAGGTCATATCAGAAGCTGTGTCAAGCTGAAGGCGAGTACGGTGTTTATCAATATCAGGAACACATGCACGAAGGCTATAAGAGAAGACAAACTTCAGTACCAAACAAAGCTTATGGACAAATTCGCCTCTAACCCTAGAAGCCTATTCCGTTATGCAGCCTCTCTTCGTCAAGCCAAAACTGGAGTTTCTCAACTGCTAGGTCTTAACGGCCCGACCAACAACGATGGCCACGCCGCTAACCTTCTGGCGGCCCATTACTCTCAAACATTTCAACCGGCTGACATCAACTTTATTGACGACAGTTTCATCTCCAACTCCACAGAACTTTCTGAAGTGGACCTAAGCGCTGACTTGGTGTTCCGGAAATTGCAGCACTTAAGACTTGACACTTCTCCTGGCCCGGATATGGTTCATCCTGCCATACTGAGGGAGGCAGCCTCAATCCTGGCAACGCCGCTTAGCGTGATGTTTTCACACTCGCTTAGCCGAGGCAAATTACCGGAAAACTGGAAGTTCGCTTACATCACACCAATTTTCAAAGGTGGTCGACGCAATGAACCTTCAAGTTATCGGCCGGTGGCTCTTCTGTCATTACCTTCAAAACTCATGGAGTCCCTGATATGCGACGGTTTAAATGACTATCTACTGTCCTTAAATTTCTTCTCACCCTAACAGCATGGTTTCAGGAAGGGTTACTCTTGTATAACCAACCTGCTGACTGCGGTGAACAAATGGACAAGCATCCTCGATTGCAAGGGAAAGGTTGACGTCATTTACCTTGATTTCTCAAAAGCTTTTGATAAGGTTAACCACACATGTCTTATCAACAAGCTCAAACGACTAGGTATCAAACAACCTCTAATCGATTGGCTCACTTCATACCTAAAAAATCGACATTTTAAGGTCAGGGTTAATTTCACTTTATCTCAGGTTATGGAATGTCCTAGTGCGGTCCCCTAGGGCTCAGTACTAGGGCCTCTTCTCTTCTTGATCTACATAAATGATCTTCCTCAACAGGTAACGTCAGACTTATTAACTTTTGCCGACGACGTGAAACTTTGGAGAGAGATACGCAACCAAGACGATACACAGGCACTTCAGGAGGATCTGACGCGACTTCAAAGTTGGGCAGACGATAACGGACTTACCTTTAACACTTCAAAGTGTAAAGTAGTCCATCTGTGACATGTCGCAGACTACAGTTATAACTTGGGAAACTCCTCTCTAGTAGTATCCCAAGTCGAAAAAGATTCAGGAGTCTTGGTGCCCCATGACTTAAAGTCTTACGCTAACTGTGACAAAAATGCCTTCCGAGCAAACCTTGCACTGGTAACGTTGAAGCGCATTTTTGGACAGTTTGACAGAAGAACTTTCTATATAATCTTCAATAGTTTTATCCGAAAGGTTAAAGACACCCTGGAGCTTATCCAACGGCGAGCCAAGAAATCAGTTCGAGGACTCAAATCTAAACCTTACGAAGAGCGCCTCCATTCACTTAACCTTTACTCATTAGAGTATAGACGTCTTAGAGGTGACCTTCTGCTGGCTTACAGTATCCTTAACACTTCTGGACATTCTCTCAAACACCTACTTAAACATAGTTCCAACACTAACCTAAGAGGTAACACACAGAAACTGGGGACACAATATAGCAGAACGGACTGTAGACACAACTTCTACTCCTTAAGAGTTGTCAAATGCTGGAATTCGCTGCCGGCCGAACTAGTCCAAGCGACTTCCCAGGAGTCCTTTAAGAGGCAACTTGATCTATTCTTAAGGACTAAGGATAGTATCACACTATGATTTACTAATTTCTTTTCCTCTTTTATTGTTAACATACCTAGGTTCCTACCTGGAGGATTTGGTGATCCCCTGCTACTAGACACTGAAGCCTGTTAAGCGAAAGCTTCTTCTATTCAGTCCACAACCATTTGAAACATTTGACTAGGTAGTTGCTTCCTGCAGAGTCATGTTAGGGCAGTGTTCGAGTTTGCTTAGAATTCTTGTTCGGATATCAGCATCCTCGGGTGAACGCAGGCTACAGACAAATACTAGGCATTTAAACTGGTTTTCAGTCATGGAAGACAACTTGAACCTCTCAAATTCTCGGTTCACAATTCCTGCATGTTCCACCCAGTCATCTTCTGGTTCTTTCGATATCTTCAAGCATTGGTAACGGATATTAAATAAAGATGACTGTTCTCCAAAGATTTGAGACAGGGTTTTAACTGTTTCATCAAAACTAAAGTCTCGTGGATTCTTCGGGAGAATGAAGTTGCTATAGCGTCCATGTTCCATAGTCCCAAGTTTTCTCAGACGTATTCTGACTTCTGAAGCGTCACCCAGTTTGCAAAGATCAATATAAAACAAATCTTTATACTTCTTAAACCAAGAACTAAAAGTTAAACCTGCTACACCATCAAAATTAAATTCATGGATGGCGCTACTGATTGAATCAGTGTGAGATACTTGTGATTCGCCAAAAGCAGGGTTTTGCTGGGAGAGGCAGAATTTTCGCATCAGGGCTTCCATGATTCTGATTTGGGATTGTTCAAACCTCTTTTCTTGACGCTCAATATAAGCTTCTAGCTGCTCCAAAGAAATATTCACTGTAGTTTTCCCATCGCCACTGATAAGTCTTGTTGATTGAACGCTATATTCGTTTCCTAAGCTATTCTGGTAACCCGCAAGCTAGAACTACACAGCGACCTGAACACCAGAGAGAAGACACAAAGTATGAGAGAAATGCTTTACTCCAAGGTTCACTTTTGTACAGAAAAACACGGGTATTTATAGATGTTAACATTTGTTAAATCAACATCGTATTTCAGCCAATCCGTTAACGACATATTATGCTACTGACCAATATTAACAAGTGTCACCAAGACTGAAGTAACTAAACGTGGATCAAATATATTCGACTCAATTACAACTGACTGACAATGGATTTAGAAGGCCATAATGCAATACAAATTAAGTACAGTCCATCCCAATCTCCCTATTTCGGGGTTTTTGTGCCATTTTCCCAAACGTTTCTGTAGCGGCTTCTCCATAATAGGGAGATTGGGATAGTTCTATCACATTAGTCGCCTTTTTTACTTTATACGTATTTCAGTCCCAAAATCTTATAAGGGCAGTAAGAACACTATTATCGAATTAAATAAATGTCATCCCCCAATAAATGAATGCCAGTTTGGTTAATTACACAACACCGATTTTTTTTATGATCAACACTTAAAAGCAACTTTTTTATATCTGTACATATTAGATTCATTCACATCCTGGTTACACGATCCTATGCTCACTTACGAGCTGTATTCAATGAATATACATCACTTGGCAAGCGTAATATGGAAGATGCTTTAAAATCAGAAATGCATGGGCACACACTCAGTGCCTTACTGTCTATTGGTAAGTAATGCTAACCACCATTTTTTTTCCAACATAAATTATGAGCTGACAGATAATGATGACCAAATAATTTAAAATTATTTGATGAAATCTTTAATCACTAGAGTATTGAATGGTAGTTGTATTTAAGTTAAACTATTGTTAGCAGTGGATAGATATAATCTTTGAATTGAATAATCTCGATATGTTGTTCATTATTTAAATTTCATTTCAGTTCGTTGTATACAAAATAAGCCACGATATTTTGCAGCGAAATTGTTAAAAGCTATGAAAGGTGCTGGAACAGATGACAGGACCCTTATTCGTATTATTGTATCTCGTTGTGAAGTTGATATGGGACAAATTAAAAAAGAGTTTCATGGTTTAAAAGGAAAAACATTAGAGGCATGCATACACGTAAGTGCGAACGACATTTGTTGAGTGAATATATATATATAATCTACAGACCATTTTGCCGACTTTTCAGGAGGGTTACGTATAGATTGTGCAATCCCTTATGTAGCTACAGATTAAGTGTAAAAGCAAACTGATCTGCATCCAGAACGATTCCTGACTTAATCAGTGCTTGTATTGGAAAACAAATGATATGCAGACTTCGAGGTAACCGTTCGTGCTGCACAAGTTTGGACGTCCCTAATTTCGCTCTCATTCTCCGCTTATTCAACTCCACTTTGTCTGATAACTTATACTACTTATTAATATTCAGTAACCAGTTCCATGTTCAATAGCCGATGAGCATATGATGTAACTTATGTTTGTTGTGCAATATTTCTAAGTACTTATATAAATTAATATTTACCTTACTCATTATCGTAATTACATCTTCATAACACTTGCAACAGTTCAACTCAGTTTCCCTGAATTCGTTGGATATCTTTTCAAACTCAACACCTTCCATAATTTTGTGTTCGTAGTCTCCGTTTGATTGTTGATAGCCATTATTAACTTTAGACACAGTTACCGGCTGCAATTTACACTATCATATGTTGTAATACATCTTTATGAAATGAAAGTGTTATGACTGTGTGCAGCAGATTAGAGGGCAGCTTATTATCGATCGGACCAAAGACGCGTAAACACGTAAGAACGGCCTAGAGTTCTGATTGGTCCCGCTTCCCTGTTTAGCCCAGCCAGTTGAGTCCAGAACGCAAGTCTCCGCCTCTGAGATATGAATCATTATATTTCAAGCATACTGAGTTTATATACCAATCAAACCGACCACAACGTACCAATAAAATATGAAACAACATTTGTACAAGAATTAGCCAGCTGTGGCTGTGAATGAGGGAGGTAGCGATTAACAGACAGGGAATAGTTTATGAATGGTAAATCGTTTAATAATAGTTCATAGGTCAAAATAAAGCTCATAATAAGAGGGGCATGAATATGAACAGTTTAGTTACGAAACAGTTATACGATAAAAACATATAATATTGGTCCATAAATGGATCCCAAAAACTACCACTCATTATTCTTATCGAGATGCAACAGATAGCAGGAAGCGGTATCTCTCGAATAGATATAGACACATTAACCCCCACAGATGCTTCATCAGTTGGGGTTTGTAACTAATTCACATATATTTTATATCAATAGGACTGTTCTTTAGGTAAATCCTCGTTTTCAACTTGGATTCCACGAGTACTTCAGTTGGGTTGTTCGACAAAATTGACCGTGTTAGTATAGTGCTACTATAACAATCATCATGCCCTGATTACTGATATGTACCTAATTATTCGTAAAAATAATTCAATAACTCTTGAATCTCACTCTGTTTAGTCACACAACTGTCACATTGTAAAGCTGCACTACAGATGCATAACCGTAACAGGGGAATTTGGAGACAATGTCAAATCTACTGAACCACCACCAAGTTTTCTCATAACAATAATACTGAACATAATTCAAAGTTGAATAATGAACGTATGAGTTCAGTCCACTTAGCTGATTGACTGGAAATAATCAACTAAGACAAAATACATACGTGACCGAATTACAGAAAGTAAGCAGCTCCTCACCTTCAAAATAAGTTTATCACTAACTATAAATAAAGAATCAAACGTTCTTGTCGTATTTGAAAGTTGACAATATAAGAAGGCTGCACTACCTACCAAATGAGTATAGATGTGCGTCTTTGTCTTACATAAAGATACTATCAGGTAACTTGAATTTATGTTGGAAGAAAAATCAGACACTTAGGCCAGTAGTTGAAGAAAACCCATAAACTACTATCATTTCGACTATGTTACCTTTCACCTTTTTATATCACTCTGCTGATATGAAGAGTGGAAAACTAGACCGATATTAAATTATACCTGACCCAAACATATAAAAACAATCCCTACTGTATTACTTGTGTAGTAAAATTTATCATCAAATTAAATGTGGGACTAACATTTTAAATTTATATTTTTATAAATTTTTAACCGGTTCAATTGTAGACAATTGATGGTAACTCATTAGAATTAAACGGTATAAATTTGTTTATTCCTCACTCTCTGTAGGATGAAACGTCAAGAGATTATCGTCGTCTATTACTGGCGCTTATAGGAGCATGATCTCGAATACGATTTTATTTACAATGAATAAAGCTGTTAATAATGAATCAGTTCATAAAAACATGTTAATGAGTATTTCTAAAGATATATTTCATAGCTACAGCTCTTTAATTAACACAAGTATTCCGCTATTCTAACAAAAACTGCGCTATGAGAGAATATTTTAAAGTTATTTAATCGTTTTATCTACTATCCCACTTTTTTACGTTCACAAAATGCCATAATCAGATATTTTTATTTTATTGCTAATTTTTATACAAACAAAGTGGTTTGCTTTGAGATGGATGGATTTTTTCAACGTTTTAGTTAAAGAGTGAATGAAGTAAAGGGTTTTGATAAAATATTACAGATAGTAACTAATGCGATTGCATGAATATAATGACCTGAGGTTGGTTAGTTAGACTGTCGCTCAGAAATGATCGCTGAAAAACTTTCGTTTGTATTTTCCTATTCACTTTTTGAGTTAAATTTGTTTCTTGATGAGAAAAGACAAACAACAGTCCAACCTGTACTGATTATACGGTGGATACCAGCTTGGGATGAATAGTACTCATGAACTACTTGGACTTGGTAAACACGAAATACGCGCTGCATGATCATTATCGTAAATACCCCCTTCTCATTACAATATCAAAACATACAGTCAGAGGTCAGCCGAAGAAAACGGGTATACAATGCCATGTTAAAATAATAAGACCTACGAAGGTAACCTTGTTAAAAAAGCGCTGACTATAAAAAAACCCACTCCAGATACCCTTAGGGAGTTGAAGAATCTTCATTTAAGAGTTATGACGCCCCAACGTGGAAGCCGAGAATCATTACTGAACAAACAATCGAATGGAACTCATGACTATACATCGAATTCCTTGACTATGAGGAAGCTTTTTACAGAGTGGATAGGACCTTATGGAACCATCTTCGGCACTATAGTGTACTTGAGAAAATCGTCAATATCATACGAATTCATACAACAGACCACACTGCGAAGTCATGCATGGAGGACAGCCGACAGATATATTCCATGTGAGGATCAGAGTCAGACAAGACTACTTAATCTCTCTTTTTCTCTTTCTTCTGGTAGTTGATTTGATTATGAAGAACTCGACATCTGAGGGAAGCACTAAATACAGTAGACAGCTTGTATGCAACTATACGATTTAGAATTTGCAGATCACCTAGCCCTTCTATCCCATACACACCGACAAATGCAGACGGGGACAACTAGTATAGCAGCAGCCTCTTAAAAAGTAGGCTTCAACATGCACAAAGGAAAAAGTTCCTAAAATACAACACAGTGAGCGCCAGCCAAATCACACTTGATGGAGAAGATCTGGAATCAGAAACTTCAACACACCTGGGCAGCAACACTGACAAACGAGGGGAATTCGATGCAGATATGAAAGCACGGACCGACAAGGGCAGCATTTCTATAAGTGACGAACATCAGGAACTCCAAACACTTCCAAGCCAACGCCAAAATCAGAATATTCAAAACAAATCTATTGTACGGAGTTGAGATGTGGAGAGCAACCACAGCTACCTTCAGGGAAGTACATGTATTTGTAAACAGTCGTCTACCCAAGATAGTCCAGACCCACTGGCCAGACACCATCAACAACAAAATCCCAGCTGAAGAAATTAGGAAAAAACGCGAGGGGGATAAGACACGTAGCAGAAACCACCAAACTGAATAACGAGGTAAGTCCCAACGTGGAACCCTGAAGGCGAAAGGAAAAGCTGACCAAAGAACACGTCCCGCCGCGAATCGTAGGCAGACATCAAAAGAATATCACTTGTGAACAACTGGAAAAAAGACCCTAGGGCAGAGATGGTTGGAGAACCTTGGCCGGCGGTTCACGAGGGGTGACAGACGTGAGTGAAGACGACGTATCAGGAACAAGGTCATCGGAACAGATTGGCCTAGTGTTTGTACAATAACTTTTTTTAAAACAAACTACATAAAGTAATCGCTGTTTTCCAGAATCGCGAAGAAAACTTTACATTTAAACTATCTAGCTCAAAGGACACACTACCGAGTCATAAATCTTCTACACTATTTCATACGTAGCATACCTTGGAAAGCACTGTCTGGTCTAACCCATACATACACCAACAAAAATTGGAGTTGAGATGTTTATGTGAACCGACTAGCCTCACATCAAATCGCGAAATTTTTCAAAATTTTATGTAAGACAAATGTCACTCTATTTCGTTTCCAGTACATAATAAAACTACCCTATTTACGCCCATTTTGTTGACGATTCTTATTACTGATGTGAGGTGTGACTATTTGGAATATTAATATTCACACTAAATCCTCCAACCTTTCAGTATACATTTAGGTAAGCTCGATTATTTTCTTATTACGAATTATATGTGCTTAGAGCCCCGTCATGTAACCATCATATACAATGGCTTCAGGCATATTAAGATGACTATTTGGCTTGTGAATTTCTGTTAGTTCCTCGAGAGAGCGTAACAAGCGACAGGACCAACCAGCCCAATGTAATGGACTTCTGAGAACCAGGTAGGCATTAAGTGAAAAGTTGAAGTACAAATTCTAGGATCGCGTAAATATTTTTACTGCTCAATAAACCTCCTTTACTTTTCCCTAATTTCAGGGTCAATTCGAGGTACTGTTTTTCAATCAAAAGACGTAGTACGTAACTACCTGCTTCATATGGGTTTCTAGGATGCTTAAGTGTTCTGTACAAAAGCACATTGATTTCACGGCGCCATTGTTATCAAATGTTTCATACAGGCATAATTCTCCCTTTGTATTGCTTTGGTGTTAGTACTCTAATAACTAGCGTTTTAAGACTTCTGACGATGAGGTAAGCTAAGAAACAACTAAAATAGAGGATGGTGAGTCTAACTTACATGTCAACACCGATCCCGATTTTCAGATGACCCTCCACACCCAGCTTCAAAGTCCGATAAGAAAACCGGACGACCACGTTGAGAAACTGTAAAACGTTACACAAATGCAGTTTGTGCCAGTCCACTTTACTGTATCACATGTTGGAACGCTACCAGATATCTAGTAAAATGTAAAGCGACCAAACATACATCCTTTTCACGTGTAACTATAACATGCCCGGACCACGAGCTCTGGCCTAAATACTTGAAAATAAGTAAATATGTACCCGTTTGGTATACCCTTGTTTAACCATGCTAGGAGCAGATGTTGTCTAGTAGGAAAGAACGAGTTATGGGGAAATTTGACTCGACTTTTCGAACAAGTTTCCTATAAGACCAGTCTATCGAGAAAGGGGAAATTACACCCAGTAGTTTGGTAATAAAGCCTTGGAAAGGATGACATATTCTTTTTAAAGTCTAAAGCACTTACTCATATGAGAACTACCTACCTCAATCTCGCAGTCATCGATGTGTTAGGTTAGTGGTATCAAAACTTAAGAAACAAGAATAGGTTCTAAAACTCCGCCTTAAGTTGCTTTTGCAATCAACTGAACTGTCAGGTCCTAAAAGAATTAATTTCGAATATATAAACCACATGATCATAAACTTCAACAAACCGACGTGGATTATAATGAGACTCTACCTATTGAATACTGACTTTAACAAGTCACCATGCATCATTCCAATGCCATACTAAGCCCGAAAAGTGTGATAACGCATACTTTACGCTTTCACGTGGTGATTATTAGTTGTAACATAACCCAGTATTCAAGCACGGGCTACCTAATTATATGTTGAAATAAAAAGATACCATCCAAATACGATAGAGCCTGGAACTCACATTAGAAGCGCGTAATAAAATATCTTCAAGAATTATAATATTGAAGAAAATGCGTAGCAGAAATTTTGACAAGTCATCATCTATGAATGTCACTTAGACAACAGGGAAATGTATACATAGTTATGGGGGGTAATCTTTAGTTACAATCCACCAGTTTGTGCCTGGAAAACTTCAACGGTATCATTTTCTTCCATTTCCAACTAAAAATTTTAATGTGAACCATAAGGTTGACTTACCGAGCCAGGAGTATCAGTTTCATGAACGCTATTTCCATCGAAAAAAAACCGCACAGCAGACTGATTAACGCCCTAAAGGAGATTGAGTATATGCTGACCAAATGTTTACCAGTCGATCGCAATAAGCAGTAATTAATTTCTTGAAAGGTGTGCTTTTCCGTATCTTGAAGTGAATAATTGACCCTTCTTGTCCTTGCACTTTGATGTTAATGTGCTCTGAAGGAGCTTCCTGAATTACATAAGAAAATCTTTGGTTACCATCATCAGGAAAATAGTATTTATATCGCAAAAATGCTTACCTTATTGGCACTATCAGTCATCCCGACAAACTTTCCTTAACAGTTTAAAAGAATCTGCTCAAACAAACGCTATCTCGCTCTGTTGTCCAATGCACAATAGGTTCAAAATATGTTGAATATTAATAATAGTGTTTTAAAGGCTATTCACTTGTCCTGTATTTCAAAGTACCACCGATTATTGCAAATTATGTCGAAACTACTTCAATTACTTAAGTTAATCTGTAACTAATCGAATTTTTATTCAGTAAACTGAACAATGTTCCAGTTCTGTTCAAAATCACTTCAGTAGCATTTATCTAGGAAGATAAAGAGTTTGATTTCCGAGAGCGACATATGTCAAAGAAAATCTAAAACAATGTCTCAATAATGGGCAAGTAAATGACTTAGGTATTCAACTGCTGTTGCCCCAGCCCTTTTGAAAGTTATCTAATGGTTCATACACTGTGAGTTTAGACGAAGCTGCATATGCCATGAATGATGGTAAGTAAAAATAGTTTAAACTAGGTAAAGATTAAAGCCATGTTATCAAGCCTCTTGTGAAGGGAACAAAAAGTAGGAGTGTTCATAATTCTAATTGGAAGGTATAATTAATTTTCCAGAACTCTCTTGCATCGGTTTGGTGAAACTGCTGTGATCTCGTCGACTGAGACGGCATTCCGGGCACCACACTGCTGTTGTCTAACTAAGTGATTTCTTGCCTGAATGTTCTCTCTTCGATAAATGATTCGTGAATTCGAGAACAACTCTCCTCCTAACCATCGTCGCTTTCTCCTTCATTTATCTTCAAGTCAACAAAATGGAAAGTACTTGGACATCATTACTATCCGATTCGGTCATATCGATTGTATCCTCACACCACATCCTTTGAGAGGCTATTGTGACATTTATATTCACTGACTTTTGTAACGACAAAATAAAGACCTCATTTTTCTTTATTTTTCACACATAATATGTAATCACATTTATATCCATTATCTATTGTTTCTCTGTATCAATGGTAAGATGAAACGGATATAGTTGTTTGATTCTACTTACACACTACCGCGATTACTAAGAATATATCTGTAATCGGTTCTTCTGCTTTATTGGCCAAGGCCTGTGGTTGAAGATTATAGTAGTGTTATAGTATTCCTTAAGGTCAATCTATATTAAGTTAGAGTATTGGTCCTTATTATTATTCGAAATTTTCTGTCGGGCTTAATCATTCTTGCTATGGCGTTGGTGCCACCACGTTCAAAGAAACATTGGTTAGTCAAGTGATTATCTCAGAGAAGCAGATTACAAGCAACATTCATTCCAAAACAATAGTTGTCATTTCTGTTATTTAATATACTATTTGTACCGTAAATATTGCTTGTGACTTTTCTGCTTTGCTCATAGGTACATAGGTTTGTAGTGTCAATTTTTTGGTATACTATTAGTAACTATGAGTATTGTTATATCTTGAGTAGGCTCTTTTGCTGTAATCTTCTTTGCGTGTGTGTGTGGGCGGGAATCCGTACATATACATTTTCTGTGACTATAACACTTTGTTTTACTTTTCCGTTCAGACAAACTCTTCCTAATCCCTTCATTTATGTTCATCACCATTTTAGTTCGTATGAGATTACTGTTAGCTTTTTGTTCACAATGATGGTTATTCAATCATACTTTTGCTGTTGTATAATATGTCTTTGTTTTAGTTTTCATCGTAACCAACTAAAGGTTTTAGCTACTGCCTCATCGATTTCACATAACTGCATAAGTCAGAGTTGTTTTACTGGTATCCTGCTTGTCAGGAATACACTTCCTCCTTGACAAATAACTGATTTTGATCTTTAGTGTTATAATTATTTGATGCAACATAAATTTGGTCGTATGAAGTCTTCAGGTCAATTGTTGGTCATGTAACTTAGTACCCATATTGTTTAGGCACTTTAAATATCTTCATATTACATCTGTGCCTAGTCGGTTTAGTAAATATTAAAAAATGATTGTGGCTTGAGTTTCTTTGCAGCTGATTACGGTTTGATCACATGGATAAGGTGGATTTAAAGCAAGGAACAGGATCTCTAGGAGTTTTGGTCACTAAGTAATCTTTCTTGTTAATGGCTAACTAATATAAGGGGCGATTTTAAACATTTTGCTAAGATACAAGATTAACGATCAAGACTAAAGAACTAGAGTAACGCTATATACTACCTTACTCAACGCGGTTACAAGCAGTCACGTTCAGTAATTTCGGAGTAGAAATCAATGATAGGAAGGGAAATCACATGTTTAATGGTCAAAAGACTAAGTGCTTGTTTGTTTCTGCTCAGTTACCAACCACATTTTACTATCGATACGACAAACGAGTAACTGAAGTCATTTAGTTAGCCGGACCATTGAAAAATGATCGTGGTCCCAAATATCGTTGCACCCAAACGGAAGAACACCCAACAGATTATTCAAATAGTCTAGACTAACTACGATGGGGAGCGTTCATTTTGTTCCAAGAAGTAATAGACGGTGCCCAGAAGGATGCTCACTAAACTTATTGAAGCTTTTTGGTCGCGTAGCGTTGCCGTTAGCCAGTATACAAACATTGTTTTCGGCTTGTGCTTGGTTACTGGTTTGTGTCGTTAAATAAATATCCAAAATAAAAGGCTCTGTAAGTCTTCGGCATTTGATGCTGACCCCACTAGTTTTACTGGACACATGCTAGGCTGGTTCTTGTCACGCTTAGAATAAATGCTCCACGATATACCACTGTAAGATCCATTTCGAATGTTTGTATGTGAAAATCCATCCATGTAAGGGCGGCCTGCTTGAGCATCTGGGCTACCTGTTCCTGCCATCTAGATATTTCAACAAGTTATCTATTGTTGTTTGTTTTAATATATCATTATGTTTATTAATCGCATAACCTATTCTGCTGCGTTTCTGAAGTGTACAACCTTTCGTTGTCAAAGTTACAGAAAACTCAATAAGAGACAATATGGTTGCTGGCAATATACAACGAAAAGAATGTACATTATTCAGTTGTTCATTCACTGAAGTGCTAACATCTAACTGGCGATCCCTCAATATTTATCGCCAGGACCGACCAAGAAGAAAGAAACGGAAACTTGTTGTAATAATTTGCCCTGAGAATTCTATATTGTACCAAACTTATAATATTGAATAAAGCTAATAATAATAATAATAATAATAGTATACACTCTCAGTTTGTTCCTATGGACTCCTTGAATTGTACATTTTGTTAGTCCTTCCGATTCCATTTGTATTTTATTATGGTTTTTATTTTTCTTACGCTTTCACTAAGTTTCCAAGTTTATTCTAGAACTGCGTTTATTTTGTTCTACTTGGCGGTAGCCATATTGGTTTGCTCCTCCCTTTGATTGTGTTGCTTGTATTGACTGGAATTGTGCATTTTTGATTGCGAATTGTGGCACTCTTCCAGAATTGAAAACACTCTGTGTTATAAAGCAACTAAATATCATCTTTTGAAAGAATATGTGCATGGTCTATCCACACAGGATAGAATAGCATTTATTTATTGTGATTGATTTGATTAATTGAACAACTGTCGGTTTAATAGCTGGGAGGTCATATTTGTTTAGGTAACAATCTACATTTAAACTTAAGATTAATTTCAGAACGGCCACTTTACCCATTCACTTTCTTTTGGCTTCAACCGGGCAAGGGCGCGTATCTAACCCACCTAGACAGCTATTCTTTAGTTCAAACCTTATTTTTTATCTAAGAACTATAATAATATAAGTAGTGTAATGAATATCGACCTTTGAAGTGATTTTAACAATGTACCTACTAGATAGAGCTCAGAGTTTAGGAAAGCGATCAGCAATTGAGTGGTCTTTGGTGTGCGTAGCAAAATGTGTCACAATAACTATAGCTACACTATTGGACCGTTATCGTGCATTTCTGTGTTGTTATAGACACTCTTCTCGACAGTGATCACCCTGTGTTGCCATTTAGGTACATATCACATAACGTACTGATCTGTTGCAACTGCCCGAATTCCTAGAGGTCAGGTGTTTCTGATATAGACTATTGTGCTAACTTTCGATGCGTTATTCCTTATACCATAGCAGGTAAAGTACTGAAAAAAAATAATTCGGGAAAAGTCGCTTGGTCAAGTATAATAACATAATCTGTGGACTGCAGAACAACGCGAATTTTACAAGAAATGTTCATCGTTGGCTAACTATGGGGTTTATTACAGACATACTAAGTCCACAGATACACTTATTCTGATACACGATATTTAACTGAGCGCGTGACCGTCTAATGCATTAAGCTCGTTACATTGGTCAACCTGTGATCAATTGTCCGGCTGATTCGAATCCCTTAAATGTGATCACTTCTAATATTCCCTTGTCTGATTATCTGTCTATATATTTATCTATATGTTAATCATATTTCATCATTATATCGAGTTATAATAACTTGACACTGACTAATTGACATACTGGGAAATTTTTATTCATTTCAACAAAATACAAACTAAACCTGTCTAGCGCAGTTCTATAAGGATTTCACAACAATGCAGTTTCTGAATGTTCTGTTCCCAGTTATATTTCTATTATAATACAATTGTTAATCATTCCAAGTGTCAGCGTCAATATAAATTCGATCTAGTTACAAGGAAGTCCAATTCAGGAATTCTCTCCCTATGTAGTGGTAAATAAATCCCCAAAATAAATAGCTCTATAAGTCTTCCACATTGGATGCTGACCAGATTAGTTTTCATGGACCCACCTAGCTGAAGGCGCTCGGTCATGCATCCGCACTAGATCACGAGTGGTAACGCCATGCTCAACATCTACTGCAATCGCTAGCCAGATTAGATCAGACAATCCCAGATATATTGATAGTCCAGAAAATGTATCTTCCAGACTCTTCCCTTCTGTCTTTTGATTTCACTTAGTGGGTACGATTAATATTAGGTGTTACTGGTTTAAGCGTTGTCAAAATCCGAATACCTGTGGCATCTTCATTGGTGAACCTAGCGTAATCTGGTACATCAAATCGCAAACTGTGAGTCTGTTCCGTTTTGGGATTCTATATATCATTGCCTTATTTTAATTTTTTATACATTGTGATATTTTTTCCGTGTTTTTGGAAATACATATATTTTTCACCCGTTTATTCTCGTACTTCATATTTCATCATGACTGAACAGACACCCAAGCTATTTAAGCTTAAGACTATGTCCCCACCTCATTCCAACTGATGCCCTTCTGGCCAGACAACATCGAAGCCTGATTCTGCTGCGCAGAAGCCAACTTCCACGAGCACGGTGTGAACGACACACGTGCACAATTTCTCGCAGTAGTCAAGGCGCTACCACGAGAATTCAACAGGTACGTAACACCTAATGATGTTTCTGAACCGAACAAAACCCTAAAACGTTCTACCCTTAAACGAGGAGACTTAACCGACAGACAAAGGTTAGAACAACTCCTTGATAACATCGACCTGCAACACAGTTCTGCAGCAGACATGTCGCAAAGGATGAGAGAGGTCATCGGCCTAAGAGCCTTCGATGAAGGCCTATTCAAACAACACTCCTTGTCCTAAATTCCTCAACAGGTGCAAGCTGTGCTGATCTCGTTTCAAAACAACTGGCTGCATCTGCTGACCGCATCTTTGAAATCACTATGTCTTCTAATGCCGAGGATTTTTCAGTCAAAGAAAAACCTCAAACGACTCAGAATGGCATAACCGAGTTATGTCATACACTCACGCGTTATCTTAATGTTCGTAACGACCGTAAGCGCTCACACACCCCATGAAGAAACACTTCGTGTAAGTGATCTGTCTCGGCTGCAATTAAACGCAACTCAGTTTCGTAAATGTGGCATTCATCTTAGCAACCAATCAGAATGAGGCGGGAATTATTATATCCGCCATCTTTGTAAGCAATGGCGGTCGGCATTCTTCGTTCTGTGCTTTTTTCAGCTACTTATTTTGTGTAGCTATGTAATTTAATGTTTCGATGTGTTAAAATGCCGCAGTTAGTGTAATGTTCTGTATGTTGGTGTGAAATTTATTTCGAATCAGCGATTTTTTCTGGGTTAACCCAGCAAAACTTTTTGCTGCTTCTACTCAAGTCAATGTATTACTTCAGCCAAGCTGGCTAGTCTTGTGTTATAAAATGTTAATCGGTTTTGTTTTGACTTGTTTTCTAGATATCCAAAGCTCAAGTTCGTTTTTTAGCTAAAATAATTGTTGCTGCCACCTGTGACTAACTGTCCACATGTTCATTCCTAACTGTCCTTTATGATGTTATCGGCGAAATGAAAGGAAACAATCTCCGATTTTTAATTTTCTTCAGTATTATGTACAACACTATCCCACCAATGAAACATACTAATACTCAGTGCCCAGCTTTAGGGAATATCAGTATTGTTTTCGAAAGGACCCAGACTTCCGACAACCATAGACGAAGTCACAGATGCTACCAATCTATTGCAGAGGGTTTGTTATAAAAAATATGCCATAAAGTAGTAATGGATGGGTTGTACTCATTACGTAGTGCGTTAAAACAAGCTTAACATTGAAAAGCCGGAAATCTACTATCAGTGTGTACTGTATGTTTGGTGTTTTGGCCACAAAAGGAAGCCGAAGGGTCATGATCAGGGAGTAAAAAGGTAATTAACTGTTACTAAGCTCACTTTTTTATAGATCATATTTCACCACTCGCAAATTTGTGTTGTTTTGCTGTATGATGTCAACCGTTACCTAATATGTTCACCCTTACGATGAAAAGTACTTGCAAGTTCTCACCTTCACTTTCTCACGCAGTAAGTTCAAAGTAAACACTAGTCTTTCTAAATAAACCTGTTAAACTAATATCCGTATTCTCTATTTCAGTTAATTGATGAAGACATGGACCACGTGCATCTGCTGTATACTGCCATTTTACTCCAATTCTAACTGTTATGTCTTACTTCTGAAAAATAAAATTGCTATATGCAGCAAATACAGACTTATTTGTTTTGATGGAGGTAGGGGGTTCATGGGATTTTTAGCACGACTATAGTAATATTCTCACTAAAGATCTAAGTGAGTGTGTAGACCAATATAAGGTACCATACAGGTGCCTTTGAGTTACTCGTGTTCCATTAGTGTCGGTAGAGGCATTACTTGCTTATCATATGACATTTGAATAAGAAGCTATGAGATTAGACGCAGGGACGGTTAGGATGTGTAACGCGTGCCCATCCATCAACTGCCGTGGCAACTCATGGTGGCTAGAATAAGTTGTGAGAGGACCTTAGCCTGAAGGTTTCCCGAGAAAATGACGAAGATATGCATCAAATCACCTTATGAAGAACGCCTCCAATCACTTAACCTCTACTCATTAGAGTACAGACATCTTAGAGGTGACCTAATTGCTTACAGTATCCTTAACACTTCTGGACATTCTCTCAAACACCTACTTAAGCTTAGTCCCAGAAACTAGAGACACAACATAGCAGATTAAACTGTAGATACAACTTCTACTCCTTGAGAGCTGTCAAATGCTGGAATTCGCTGCCCGCCGAACTAGTCCAAGCGACTTCCCAGGAGTCCTTTAAGAGGCAACTTGATCTATTCTTAAGGACTAAGGATAGTATCACACTATGATTTACTAATTTCTTTTCCTCTTTTATTGTTAACATACCTAGGTTCCTACCTGGAGGATTTGGTGATCCCCTGCTACTAGACACTGAAGCCTGTTAAGCGAAAGCTTCTTCTATTCAGTCCACAACCACTTGAACACATGAACTAGGTGCTGAGAGGCTCGCTCATCACAAGTTTCCTGCAATGACTAAGTAGATGAAACAAAGTAGCATTAGATTCAAAAATTTATTGAAGAACGTTCATTAAGAATTGAATATCAAACAAAAGTTTAAACGAAGTTCCCGTTTAAAATCTGCATTGGTAATGTTAAGCTGCAGTCTCTGTTGATTTTTTTCAAACGAAAGGGTAAAATAAGTAACTCAAAAAGTACTGGAAGTGGTTATGAGACTAAAATGGACATCCAGCATCCTTTTTATAATCTGCTGTTAGTTGGATCCCCCGTAAAGAATTTCATAGGGCCATAATTCTAAGGGCGAAACAGTTCTTAGGATCTGTGAAGACTCAGTCGATGTGTTGTCGAAAATAGAGGTGGTACAGTAGTTGTGGTGTGGTTTGCGACATTTCTGGTTCCACATGGTAGTTGCAGTCGTCTTTTTAAACATGAGTCGGCCCTATGCGTAATGGCGAACGGGCAAAGCCTACAATAAGGAAGTGAGGTTGTGAATAGTCGACTGCATGAGAGGGTCTGGAAGACAAATGAAAAAAGTCAACGTGAGCCGGTGACTCAGCATATAGAATGCGCCTACATTTGATTGTGAGAGCAGCCAAAAGTAATTAGCAACAACAGCCGTGAAATTAAATCATTCTGAAGACAATTATCACACACTGCTTTTCAAACTCTCCCAGTATTCAGCGTAGATAGGCATAAACCCGTTTAAGGCCGAGCTCAACGTTTGTCCTTGAGTGGCTTACCATATGACCTTGTGGCGTGAAATAAATACACCTGCCCAACTGTTCGGTCATTGGAACTTTTCGGTACAGCGAGGTAAAAAGCCGTAAGATAATTCCCCAAAGTTTTTTACTTACTTGTTAAGGACAGAGCTCAACGGCGATACTCTAATTTGTGTATTAGACAATCAAGCGTTTTAGAAATTTCAAGGTTACGGCGCCAACTTCAGTACCTAATGCTGTAACAGTATCGAAAGTCATTACGTGTAACTTTATTAATGCAGGTTTGTTTTCCTTATTGCAGGACAACAGAAAGTGAACGTATTAGAAGAAGAAGAACAAAGCTTGCGCAAACTAAACCTGCTGGATGATGAGTAAAACTATTTTGTAACAGACTTCTTTTTTTGTACAAAAGCGCGTATTTCAATTTCTAATATATCTCTGTTGTGCTCGCACGCCGTGTTCTCACTTGAGTGGCATCTGCCAGTCCTGACTGTTGTGTTGTGTTTCAGATTGCTCCTGCCTCCAGGTAAACGCTAAGAATATGTGCTACAATGCTAACGTACGATCGTTTCATAGGGGATTTCATACAAAACGTGATAATTGAGCGGCTATAACAAATAAAACGGCGTATCTGAGTACATGCGTAAGTGCTGGTGCTGGTGTGAGTAATGAGATAAGTTCACTTATAATGAAAGCCTGGACGGCTCATGCCAATCTGGTTCATCTCTGGCTCCGTGGTTAGTCTGGCTTTAAAAGGTCAGATCTGCAACGCGTCAGTGACAGCATTTTTTCTGTATGCTTGTAAAACCTGGCCTCTCCGAGTTAAGGATGCTAGACAACTGTCTGTGTTTGATCATCGTTTTCTCCAAAAGACCCAAGTAACCAACAAAGGGGAAATAAAGGGGAAAATGCGTTGGAAGAGAAAGAGAAAAACGCGCTAGCAATCGAGTGCTGACATTCAGTAGGAAAATCATGTTAATAGCGTGGAGCTTCGGCAGTATGTATCTAGGTACAGTGACGACAATTTAATTGATGCCACCATCGTGGGACACCGACTTTGATGGCTTGGACATGTATATACGAATGTCGTCACAGCAAATTCTACACGACATAGTGTCATGGTATGAAAGGAGGCTGTACAGGACTGGCTTATGTTGATCCTTCACGGCTCTCTGACTGGAGTCCTAGATGTAGCACAATGTTGTTTAGTAAACCCTGAAACTTTTACAATATTTTTGGGCTTTTTGTCCCATTTTTACAACCTTTAATGAAACTCCCCCAAAATTGGCGAAATTTTCCTCAAAGTTGGAAAATCGGAATCATGAATATTTCGAAATTTATTATGAGTAAAATAACAAACTCACCAGCCATTATAAATGGGAGATCTGTTTACTACTCAAGATTTATAGTTGCGAAGGTAAACACAACTAAGTGCTACAGATGTAAGGATAGTAAGGAAAGATACTCAGAACTTTAGGGTCCTACAACAACTCATACTAAAGTCTTATCAATATGAGATAGGCTTGAGTGATTCGCTAGGTTGTCACTGCGAATGAGATTGGGGAACTAAAAACTGCCCTATTTTATTGGTTTCTAAAAGCCAACGGAATAGATTTCAGAAGAGAAAATTACCCCACTAACTAAATGTGTGAATATATATTATGATATGTTTATGTACATAATAATAACCAGTGATCATTCACTTCGTCTCGTGATAATAAGGATTTCTCAAATAAGCTTTTCAAATACGCGAAGTTCATGGGATGACATAAACTAGCCTCTCAAATCAGTTGAGAAAGTTAAGGGTAGAACTCAACCATCTGAAGTTTCATTTCCAGTTAGTATACGGGAGTTCTTGTAAAGATAACCTTAATCTTGTTGAACCAAAATTTTCAGACACAAAAGTTGACTTTCACAGCAACGCTTGTAACGATGTAGTGGAGTCACGTTTCGCTTAGTCAGCTGTATTCCTAAATTCAGTTACTTCATGCACCACAATCCTTACGACATAGTGTCATGGTATGAAAGGAGGCTGTACAGGACTGGCTTATGTTGATCCTTCACGGCTCTCTGACTGGAGTCCTAGATGTAGCACAATGTTGTTTAGTAAACCCTGAAACTTTTACAATATTTTTGGGCTTTTTGTCCCATTTTTACAACCTTTAATGAAACTCCCCCAAAATTGGCGAAATTTTCCTCAAAGTTGGAAAATCGGAATCATGAATATTTCGAAATTTATTATGAGTAAAATAACAAACTCACCAGCCATTATAAATGGGAGATCTGTTTACTACTCAAGATTTATAGTTGCGAAGGTAAACACAACTAAGTGCTACAGATGTAAGGATAGTAAGGAAAGATACTCAGAACTTTAGGGTCCTACAACAACTCATACTAAAGTCTTATCAATATGAGATAGGCTTGAGTGATTCGCTAGGTTGTCACTGCGAATGAGATTGGGGAACTAAAAACTGCCCTATTTTATTGGTTTCTAAAAGCCAACGGAATAGATTTCAGAAGAGAAAATTACCCCACTAACTAAATGTGTGAATATATATTATGATATGTTTATGTACATAATAATAACCAGTGATCATTCACTTCGTCTCGTGATAATAAGGATTTCTCAAATAAGCTTTTCAAATACGCGAAGTTCATGGGATGACATAAACTAGCCTCTCAAATCAGTTGAGAAAGTTAAGGGTAGAACTCAACCATCTGAAGTTTCATTTCCAGTTAGTATACGGGAGTTCTTGTAAAGATAACCTTAATCTTGTTGAACCAAAATTTTCAGACACAAAAGTTGACTTTCACAGCAACGCTTGTAACGATGTAGTGGAGTCACGTTTCGCTTAGTCAGCTGTATTCCTAAATTCAGTTACTTCATGCACCACAATCCTTACGACATAGTGTCATGGTATGAAAGGAGGCTGTACAGGACTGGCTTATGTTGATCCTTCACGGCTCTCTGACTGGAGTCCTAGATGTAGCACAATGTTGTTTAGTAAACCCTGAAACTTTTACAATATTTTTGGGCTTTTTGTCCCATTTTTACAACCTTTAATGAAACTCCCCCAAAATTGGCGAAATTTTCCTCAAAGTTGGAAAATCGGAATCATGAATATTTCGAAATTTATTATGAGTAAAATAACAAACTCACCAGCCATTATAAATGGGAGATCTGTTTACTACTCAAGATTTATAGTTGCGAAGGTAAACACAACTAAGTGCTACAGATGTAAGGATAGTAAGGAAAGATACTCAGAACTTTAGGGTCCTACAACAACTCATACTAAAGTCTTATCAATATGAGATAGGCTTGAGTGATTCGCTAGGTTGTCACTGCGAATGAGATTGGGGAACTAAAAACTGCCCTATTTTATTGGTTTCTAAAAGCCAACGGAATAGATTTCAGAAGAGAAAATTACCCCACTAACTAAATGTGTGAATATATATTATGATATGTTTATGTACATAATAATAACCAGTGATCATTCACTTCGTCTCGTGATAATAAGGATTTCTCAAATAAGCTTTTCAAATACGCGAAGTTCATGGGATGACATAAACTAGCCTCTCAAATCAGTTGAGAAAGTTAAGGGTAGAACTCAACCATCTGAAGTTTCATTTCCAGTTAGTATACGGGAGTTCTTGTAAAGATAACCTTAATCTTGTTGAACCAAAATTTTCAGACACAAAAGTTGACTTTCACAGCAACGCTTGTAACGATGTAGTGGAGTCACGTTTCGCTTAGTCAGCTGTATTCCTAAATTCAGTTACTTCATGCACCACAATCCTTTATGTCTGTTTGGTACTCACTCGCTTCACTCACAGTGGTTTGGAAACCATGTTGGTTATGAAATCCAATCACACGAAATCCCTTCACAATTAGGTACCCCACTATTTTGACAACTGTCGTTTGTTGCACTTTCGGCTGATTGTATTTTACTACCGTCAGTTATGCAACAAAGATCAACATTGGATTTTGTGCAGGTTTCTAGTAATAGGTTCCCTTATAAGGTGAAGGCGAATTTAGTTGTCAAGAGATCCTTCCGTCCGAATGTATAATGTTTTTTAATGGTAGCATTGGCCACTATTTCTCCATCCAACTTGATCTGCTGAGGAAAGACGTGATTGTTCTCCAATATAACGCCCCAATATATTCCAAACAATTTATGGTTTAGGCCTTCCAAAATACATTTTTCAGAGCGTTTGATACTAGTGCGAATCGATTTTTTTATGTAAATAGTGTACACTGTGTTGGTTTATAATTATTTCCGTTATTACTGGTACACTTCGAAATTTCTTAAATTTTAGGATTTTGATTTTCCTGTTTCATTTTTAGAACTGCAAACTTATTTTGCTATATTGACGTGCATTTTCTGATTCCAGTTCAAATAAATGTGGTTGGTCTTCTTCAGCTTCAGCTTATGCTAGTCCTCCATCTGTTCTATCCCGTAAATTAGTTAATTTCTGTCAGGAGATAGTATTGTTCATTTAATGACCTGATAGGTAATAACAATATCTGAGCTTGAATACATGAACAGGACATCTATCTTTGTGGCATCGTCTGTTTTTGTGGCATCTGCGTTCACTTTGTTTTGTTTCTCGAGATTATTTCAAAGACCGCATGTTAAAAAAGTCTCGTTCAAGCCATCAGTGCCTCGTTTCACATTAGGCGATACGTCACTCCCTAAAGTTATCGAATTCGACAAGGGAAATTTAACGCTTGATTTCTGTACATCCATCTGTACACTGATCAATATATCTGATTATGACACAAGACAAAAGCTTATCATCAGTCTTCATCAAGCTTCATCATTTCGTCGGAACTTTGTAATTAATTAATTTCATCATTAACTATTTGATTTAAGGATGTTATTAGGGACTCTAAGTGCCTGGAACTCCTCCTATCTCTCCTGGATTCTACCTCAGGGACGTTATCAGGACGCCAGCAAAACCTAAACATTCTTCACGTTGTAATGAACTTGGCGTGCGATCAACAAAATTTTCCAATCATAAAGGTATGAGATTTCGATTCAAATAATCTCTTTAGGACTATCTCGATGATATTTTATTAATAGCAAATGCAGTGGAATACAGTGATCAAGCATGCGTTGCTCTTCAGGTCTTCGGTAATATAGCATTAACTCCAGATGGATGCAAATTGCTACGTAATAAATGTGGTTATCTCTGTAATATGTTAAAAATGCGCGATCCATACGTCCTACGAAATCTACTAGTAGTTTTTGTGAATCTGTCCTGTGACATAGATTGTTGTGGTGAAATTCTTACACAGGTATATCTATAGCTTTCATATATGGCTTCAGGATCATGAGGAATTTATGAAAACTTTGGAGTATTCATTGTCTTCGAGTGCACCCATATCAGTTTCTCTAAAAATGATCGTTCTACTCAATAATCTATATTCTCGGATGATACAGAAGCAAGAAACTTCACGGAAATCATCTGATTCCTCACCCTCTTCAAAGTCTATAGCTAATTCACTTAAGGTATGCTCTAGTCTATGGTCTGTAATGTGATTTTAAAGTTTCTGTTCAAATATCCATTCTTTTGCATGTATATGTTTATATTTCCAGGAGTTCAAGTTTCCAGACAATGATATTGTCAATAAGACACTATTGCTCCGAATTGTGTAAGAAATTCACTATCATTTTTCTGTATGGATTAGATTTTTCATTTCCATACAGGATCATATTGTTCACTATTTCAACTACTGAGTACTGATCGTGCTTTTGGTTTATTTGTATTTTGTACTTTGATCGCTTAATACAATGTCGGCGGCTAAGCTGGACGGATCTAGAAGATTTGGCGAATTTCGGTCCCTGATCAATATTGCCCATATACGTGGTTCCCGGGATTCTGATATAATGAATAGTATATGAATTTATTACAGTTACTGACCATTATATAAATGTATTCGATAACGTTTCTTTATTGCTCCATGAATCAGAATCACTGGTCAAAGTCATCGTTAGTGGTCTCTTTAAAGGTCTACTTGGTTTGGTGTGGGTACTCGAATAACATATGCATTTTGCTACAGATGTCAGCTGACAGTTGACTTTTTGATAGTTTCGTATAGTACTAGGCACACGACTCGATGCCTTCGACTAAATGGATGGGTTCTTTTAGAAGACATACACTGGTATGCCATTTCAGAATAATACAATGCTTATCAGACTTTGTTCAAAAGGACTCGTACCAACCGATCATGCAGGCCATAAAACTGTGGCTGTAGTTTTCCTCACTTCTCAAATGATTCTTTCATTATGCTTTTAGTGAGTGTACATGATATGCTAGAAAAGTTTCTGATACATGGAGAAGACATCTATACTTCCTATCTGAGTCGCGAACCAGCTTTATCATATCTAGTTCTTCGTGTTGTGGTTCGATGATGTATATAAAGATAACCGAAGCAGTCCACCTACTCAGTTACATCTATTACTGTTGCCAAACTATTTTATGACTCAGATCGGTCCTGAAGCCTCAATTTAAATCTTTAGAAATAGGACTGGGAAACATTTCAAACCCCTTCATAATTCTACTCAAGTTTTTTTCGTGGTACCCAGATACTGGCGCTACTCTAATAACCGTATAGAACGAATATGATGTTATTAGAAAAATGTATTGGTAAGAATAGGTTGGAGAAACAGTGTGACTACTGCCGCATGTATCAGTCAATGATGTACAGTTTATTAACTAGCGTAAGTCATCCTTGATTTTGACGATGTTCGATAGACTATCTAACTATCAGTGATCTGTCGTTTAACTTAGAAACAGTTCAGCCTGATGGATTATTTGACTAGGTTCCAGTGAGGTTTTACTGGTTCTACAGAACATTACTTTTAGATGCACATCAATGCTAAAATTAAATAAAGAATGGTGAAACTAGACAACCCTGATGAAGATCACTTTATGTATGTGATGATATTTGGTAGAAAAAGTCTGCTGAATATGTAGTTGTCAGTGGTTTATACAGCCGTAATTTTTCTGTTTGGTCGATAACATTCGGTAATAGAAGATGCAAAAAAATAGATTATAACTGGCAGGTGCAAAGTCATCTTTTGGATTGTCAACCCTATTTTTTCTACTAACTAATTCTTTCTTCCTGTACTGTGTTGTGGATGCGGAGGAATAGACCAATAATTATCATGTTAAGTCCAATGGTGTCCTTGGACCTTATACGGACATTTCCTATTGGTCGATATCTGTTCACTTGTTGAATATTGTACAAAATGTTGTTTTCTATTTTGTGGTACGATGTGGTATGCTTGATTGGTATATAAACAAAGTATGTTTGAAATATAATGATTCATAACTCAGAGGCTGTAACTTGTGTTCTTGACTCGACTGGCTAGGACAGACAGCGAGGCGGGACCAATCGGGACTCTGGGTCATCCTTACATGTTTACGTGTCACTGTAATCGATCGATCAATAAAACGCTGCTTATCAAAACCTTCAGTCTCACACCCGTTACAACAACTGTATCCTTATATGCAATTTTTCTCCTATATATTACCACCTTTGACCTAACCACTCCTATGAATCCGGTGTTCATCTTGCTGTGCTAATGCGGTATGGCAACCTGGACCGATGTATATATGTGCCTGGTCCTACGTTGTAGCTGACTGACTGACTGAAATGGTGTAAGTGGTCTTCTCTATCTGGTTTTAATCAACGTTCTTTTTTATGAAATTGGGTTGTTAACCCCATGCTCAGCGCTCCTCTTTTACCCAGGCATCGGATCGGGAGTATCCATAGAAGGTCTCCAGACGGAGTAACACTTTTCAAAAGCTAGAATGATGATCAGTAGTTCAATAATATTTTAAAATCTTTTCCAATGAACTATGGGTCATAATGAATTTTAATTGGTTGAATACTCTGTCGAGGGTCAAATCTGTGACCGACAGGATGCAACCAAATCAACTATCAGTTGTCTGTCAGTACTTTAATCGCCGACATTTTTCCACTCGTTTTTAAAGAACTTCACTTGTTGTCTTTTCATTATAAACGTGAAAACTAGTTGAAGGTTACTAGATTTAAATGGTTACATGAAAAGCAGATTCTACTGTAATTTACATATCTTCATTCAGTTTACACATGAAGTTTTTATTGTTCGACTAATTATTGCCAATATATTTTTTCTTTGCCGTTTATTTTTATATATGTCCCTTTTGTTTTCCAGAATAATTGCACTCTAGTTAAATCGTGGATTATGTTCTTGATATCTTCATCAAAAGACCTGGGTGAACTCGAATTTCATTTGCAAAAGCTTGCATCTTCTTTGGAAAAAGTGGAAAATTTCAACGTTGAGTTATGATGTCCAGTGATTTTGCCATCATACATTACATTTATCAAATGTTAATCAAATTTTTGTACATTTTTATTTTTCCTCAAATAAACTTCATTTCTTTCGATGTTTTATCTTGTATATTTTCTTTTTGTTGCTTCGCTGATGGAAAAAAATATGATGTATCCCAAAACTTTTAGTCATGCTACCCAAAAAATCTTTATCGACTCTATTTGGGTTCCTCAACACTTCAGTGTTATCAGAAATCAAAGTTTTCAATTGTCCTGACCGTAATGAATACTCTATTATAGCTGAGTGGACGCAGACTGACACTTTTCGAAAAGACAGTGTTTCATATTCAAGAAATTATCTGGTCACCTTACCACAACATGACATGCATGAAAATCTACATGTGGACTACACTTCACAACTACAGTTTACCTCATTTGGACAGTGTTTTCCTTTCGCCTCACAGAATCATGTACGTACTATTTGGGATATTAAGTCTCCTGAAGGTTGTCACCGAGCTGTGTGTATCGAATGTAATCCTCCACTGGCTTCAAATCCTTCAAAGTCTACTGTCGCTAGTACTGCAGAATCAGGTATTTTCATTCAAGTGTGGATAAATGGACGTTTCACCAACTCTATAAAGCTCCCAACACTTAATGCTCGTCATGGTCGTGTCTATCCTTTGAATAGTTCGACATTCCATGGAGCTCGATGGTCGAATGCAAGAGATAAGATTGTTTATTTGGCAGAAGTGTGTAATAATCCTAGTGAGGTAATAGTTTTTATCATTTTTTATAAACATCGTATACATTATCGAAAACGGAAAAATATGTTTCATAAGTGTAAATTTCATTTGTCTATTCTTGAAAGCCTACCTACTTATTAATAAGTCGTAACCTCTGACGTATTATTATCAGTATAAAGTATGTAATGTTTTTAAGTTTTATTAATTGATCTAGTACGTCTCAATTGAACAGCTTCAAGTAATAATATCTATCTAGTACGGCCGAGGATGGGGAGAGTCTGCTCCCTCTCCAGATGCTTCCATATGGCCACGCCTATATAACCACTTCCAGGAAAGTCTTATTCACTGCTTCCTCATGGCAAGGTAGTTGTTTACGGAATTGAGAAGATGAAAAGCAAATATCCGGTGCTTAAAACAGGTTGGTGGATAAGGCGGGTTCTCCTGGGAGATTTTTAAAACTCTGATTCGAATTAATGGCATACATGCGTTCCACTATCTTCAGGGAACAAATAGCGTACGGAACTATTGTTGGTGACCGGCTACCATGGAACCGCATCACCTAATGGTGCTCCACTATCTTGTGGTTTAAACTTCTGGGTTAAGGGCTTGGGGATTGGTCCTCTAGTCAAATCACTTCCGTTTGGACACCTGGGTAGTATTCCAGCCCATATACAAATTCAATAGTTTGCGTGGCGCGTATATATTTTTGTACCCTTTTGTACCACTGTTTATGTATTTAAATGAACAAATCATAGGTGTTCACATGTTCATGTACTTAATTCAACCTATTGCGTAATGTAAATAAAATAAACTTGGCCAAATTTGAAACAATAATAAAGTGATCTGTTAGTAAGTATTATCTTTCTAGACATATTTTACTTCTTTTCAATGTAATTACAATATAAAGTAAGTTTATTTACAAGATCTCACGAATTACAAAGATGGAGCACTTTAGTAATAATATGTATCGATTTGATATTGGGATCTAATCCTCATCAATTATAGTTTTTTTATTTTACGCTTAATATTCCTCTCTCAGCATGTATATATTGTTTAATTTCTTACTGCCAGTAGTAACCTTACGCAGCAATTAATCATCAGTATGTACTTGTTGGGGAGTGGCCTCCTAAGCAAACCACCTGCTTCGATTTGGGCACCCGGGCAGTATCACAGCCCTCACACATATCAAATGAGATTTGTGTGGCGCATATGTATTTGGTGCCTCTTTGTACCAATATCTATGTGTTGAAATAAATAATGTACTTGTTGGAAAGTATTGCTGTTCTATGTGTTTCACTAATTCTCTATTTCTTAATCTAAACGCTGCATTAAGAACTAATTAGTCTTAAGAAGATTTAACCTTTTTTTCTTTCTTTTGAATTTTCTTCTTTTGCTTATTTTATTTTACAAATTTAGTGTAAGTTTATCGATTTATACGATAAACTAAAGTTAATTTTCAGTTATTGTCTGTTGTGCATTAAAGCTAAGAATTATGGGTTTGTTTGTGATATAGTTCAAACATCTTGGTTTTCATTCAAAGTTCGTACGTACGTATGAAGTTCTACGTTGTTACTGACTGATTGACTGACTGACTGAACTAGAATCCAATTAAAATATTATATTTGCTTAGCTAGAGAAAGCACTAAGTAAGCTAAACAGAGGCCAATATACTGGAAAAAATCATCATCTGTCTTTAGGAAAGCTATGATCTATGAACTATACTCAGCATATGATTTGTCATAACTAAGTATTTTTCATATATGTGATTTTATTCTAATTATTAATCAATATATAAATGAGTATATTTCCGACTAGACTTGTAGTCGTTGTTTATGCTTCTAGCTGCTTGAAGAATACATTTCCGTCTTCCGAACTTGGACTTCTCTCTTTAGTTAGCGGGGCTGGGACGCATCGGAATAGCTAGCTCATCTGTCATTGTGTCACAGAGTCTTCGTTCCGTTCTCAAATTAGATGAACTCGTAATCTCTTCAGACATAACACAACCCATCGAAGATCGATGACTTTATACTCATTCGCTTGTTAAACTGTAAGCTACACAATTGTAGTGTTAGTCATTCGTTTTAGCCCATAGTATATCTTATTCTAGTTTCCGGACATTCCATTCTACTCATTCTACTTGAGTCATGTTTTGACCTTGTTAATTATTCGCTTGTTAGCCTTGACTGTATTCATGTGAGCGTATATGTATGTACACTTGATGTCCCATGACTCATCACATGTCTGTAGTTCATTTTGTCTGCCTATAAATATTGAGTAATGTTCGGCTTGAATTGGAGTTGGCTTCCCAGCCATCCTCCCTGTGCGTCATTTTTGCTTGGCTCTGTTTCATTCACTTCATATACAAAATATATGTATTCAAATGCCATTCTCGTTAATTGACTTATTTAATTCCGTTATGGACTAACGCGATCTAAGTCGACGATGATATACGAGAATCAGCGATAACAAACACTCGTACACTCCAAAAGGAGTCAGATCAAAAGGGCCACAAAAGTGGTAAGCCCGCCGACGACGAACGCAACGCAGCAAGCTACGTCGATGAAGAGATTTCTGCACTTGATACATTCGACGAACGCACTCAACGGGTCCAGCTCAATCTCTAATCCGACGCACTCAGCAAAGCCTGTGCAACACGACATGGACATGCACAAATCTTATTATCTTATTGTTACTTTGTCCTCATGTCAATTATCTTCATTGATACATTTGTCGGATTGTTCCATTACAATTCAAATTATCATTGTATGCTTATTATTACATTATTGCTAATATCATGATCGAATGTGGAATTATTAATCTTGTTCGTGCTGTCATTAAATCATGACATTTTCGCAATCATATCACTGACCGAACAAATTATCATTTTATGAAAATTCCACTTAACTTTGTGAGAACTCATTGGGATATTTTTACTATTCAAAAACGTGAAATTTTCCTGCTTTAAGTGAGTTCGTTCCAATTTTTCATGTCATTTTGAACTAATATTGCATTCATTCACTTAGTCGAGGTCAGCAATTTATATTATCACAACATACATTTTTCATTTCGAAATCGCCTCCTATTATGTCTGTGGATGCCTCTAACTAGCTGACTAGTAACCATTACGTTCATTTTATCTATTCTTTCACGTGCATAACTACATGCTGCATCACTTATCACTCAAAAACGCTATTCGAGTACTGCAACTACTATTCTATTCCCATCGCACTGCATATCAGAACATAGAGTTTAGAGCTAGTCTCTCAAAGATACACTCTTGTTCGTCACATCCAAGTCAGTCTCACAAGTCGCCATCGCTAATCATATGTATTGGTATTTCTGTCATGCCTTGGTACGGTTTTGTAACAAACGAGATCGAGTGCATCTCCCTCAAACCACTCTAGGCTTCATGACCAAAAAGGAATGCGACTCTACGTACCTCGTCTACTCAGTCACTATTCTGTTCCTCTGGTCATTCTACTAATACATATTTAACGATAACTCAATGCATCTGTCATAACGCAGACGACAACGTTCACTGACTTTATATTTTATGATTATTATCAATTGCAGTACAGCAACGAATATCACCCGTCGATGCAGTTATCATTTCACGACTTGCCTATTATCATCCTACGAACGGGAACTACGCATTTAAATTCGAATTCACTCGTCGCTAGTCGATGCTATTTATTCTGCTGCGGCTCAACAGAATATATATTTCGCATATTTCACTATTCTCTCAGCATCACAGACCAATTTCTGTCATATTCTACTCTAGCCATTTTGACGATTTATTTCGCTGTTATACCTACAAACAATTTATTACTGTTTTCACGATATTTTGAATCACTCATACAAACGTGTTATTTTATCGTTCAGACAGCCATAGCATTAGTACATGTTAATTTTTGTACGCTCATTAATTTTCTTATATTCGCACGTTAACGTTTCCATTTTTGTCCGAGGCCTTTTCTATATTCATGTATTCTTTTGCATAAGTATGACATTTTCATACAATACGCTCACCCCTCATGTGACACTGTACTTTATCGAGTGTTGTACAATTTTTTGGTTACTTCTTGTTAACGTTAGCTTCATATCACTTCAGTGTTATTTTCGAAAACAGACATTTTTTCAAATGTGCTATTTTCTACGAGGGGGCTATGTAGTGTTAGTCATTCGTTTTAGCCCATAGTATATCTTATTCTAGTTTCCGGACATTCCATTCTACTCATTCTACTTGAGTCATGTTTTGACCTTGTTAATTATTCGCTTGTTAGCCTTGACTGTATTCATGTGAGCGTATATGTATGTACACTTGATGTCCCATGACTCATCACATGTCTGTAGTTCATTTTGTCTGCCTATAA